ATCCCAGTGAAATGTAAACAGGTATTCACTGGCAATGACACAAGATACGATAAGAAAAAAGGCATAAAAAATGAATCTCTTGAGCTGCACTGTGGGAATTCTGACCAGTGTAACAAAAGCCCGAATCCAGCCAGGCTGCAACAGCCAAGTGAGGACGTCTCTCTGGACCCAGATATTGTCCAGACCACACCTTCCATCCTCCTCGCCCCCTTCAGACAACCTACAGGTCTCCCAAGTAGGCTGTGGACACCCCATCCCTGCAGGCATTCAGGGCCAGGCTGGATGTGGCTCTGGGCAGCCTGGTCTGCTGGTTGGTGACCCTGCACAGAGCAGGGGGTTTGCAACTAGATGGTCATTGTGGTCCTTTTCAACCCAGGCCATTCTGTGATTCTATGGTTCTGTGACTCAGACATTTCCTGCAAGCTCCTCTGTTTGGACACCAGCCTCTCCAAGCCCATCTGCTGCTGCTCTGGTTCTCTCCATGTCCCTCTGTTGGGATCTGGAGTCCCCATATCCTTTCTACACACACAGTGGGCCCCATTACGTGCTCTGTGTGTTCAGGTTCCTGTTTGTTACCTGAAGGTATTTGAACCCTCACCCTGAAATGAAGCCTCTCTCCAGCAGAGGTTTTTGAATACCAAATGAACTTCATGCTCAAAGGGTGTAAAAGAACACACAGACCTCATCTTTACTGACTGCACCCATCGGGACATGCGGCTTTCCAGATCTGCAGACTTTTCTCTCTTGTGTCTTACTTTAGCTCATGGATGTCCAATCTTTTGGCTTGCACAGCCCATACTGAGTGAAGAGGAATTGTCCTGAACTGCATATATGCAGCTTATTCCAAAACTGATGCTTCCAATTTATCTCTATGGAAACTATAACTAAACAATGAGCACAGTAACACTGGTAGAGCTAATTCCCAGCCACAAAACACAAAACATAGCCACCACCATTAGCTACACATTTCACCAGCAATGAGCAAGAGCCTGCATGCTATGCTCTTTAAAATCTGCATGGTCATCTGGAAAATGGCTTGTCTTTCGTGTCATTGCTGAAGCACATCACCCACTCCTCACTGTGCTCACATGCACGGGCTGGTCTCCATCAGCATTCAACAAGCATCAGTGAATGTCAGTGGATGCCACTGTTTCCACATGGGGGAGTTCAATGACACCCTTTGCTCCATCCACACTTCTGTGTCAGACACCGTTCTGTCAGACTGCCCGTCTGCTGCCAGCTGTCACACAGCAACAACACAAAATGGGGCACTGGTGGGAAGGCTCAACCTCTACTGCTGCACCACCAATATCCACCTCTGACACTGTGGGCTGACACCATAAAACAGGAGGCATATTTTTTCCATTCACAGGACAGTGTTCAGCCAAAGTATCAAAGTGCACACCATTATTTGACACCATGTGAGCCCTCCCCATGCCCTGCTCTCAGCCCAGACAGTGTCCATCACACACCAATGTTTGGCCATTGCTGAGCGTTGCTGTGTGCCTGGGGCCTCTCCCTTGTCACCGCAGCAGGGACCTCAGTCAGGTGAGGGTCTGATGTCCCCTGGGGCCAAGTGACAGCCCAGGCCACCCCCCTGCTGGGTCTTTGCACATCAGCTGTGATGGCCGAGTGGTGAAGGTGTTGGACTTGAAATCCAATGGGGTTTCCCCGCGCAGGTTCAAATCCTGCTCACAGCGGGAATTTTTACTGACAGCCCCTGTCCTCCTGTCCCCAGGAGGGACAGACAGACACACATCCCCACCACTCCTCACCGAGGGGACCCTGCTGTCCCCATCTGCTCCTGACCCTCATCTTTTGCTGGCCTCTTCCCCTTCAGGGTGGCCAAAATGGCCAAGCCCCTACATCTCTCAGCAAAAGATGAAACTCACACAGAGCTGCAGCACCCTGCTATCTTCAAAGCACTGCTCCCTGCAGCCAGAACAGACTCTGGCTGCCCTCCTCTCAGCACAGATTTTGGCTGGAGGGTGCAGCCTGAAGGCAGTGAGGAAGTGGAGTGGATTGCCACTGGTCCCCCAAATTTACCCTGCCCTGCCTGCCCACACGGATCTGCCCCAGGAGAAGTCTGTGACCTGTGGTGGCTGTAAGGAGCTTTTCCCTAGCCAGGAATTGGACCCAGGCCATAAGAGTGACGAGTCCTGACCACTAGACCACCAGAGATGAAGTGGTGGTGGTGGACGTGGTGGTGGACACCAACCCGGTCCTGACAGGATGCAGACGTGGGCCCTGCAGATAAAGGGGAAGATTGGCTGGTGAGGCTTCCACCACCTTTCTGGGGGACGTTGCAGGGATGCCTGCTCCTTTCTGCACACTGTGGCACTGGGCAGATCCTCTGTGCAAGAGGATTCCGTCTCTGTCAGATGTGGGAAGCAGGATCGGGTTGTGCTGCTGATTGGTGCACCAGTGAAGACAGGTTTGGGAAAGGCAATGATGGGCAATCGCTCATGAAAATAACCAGCAGAGCCCTGGGGGCTCAGCAGTGAGGTTCAGCTGGTGCTGATAGAGAGGGGACCCCATTTGTGCTGCTAAGGCAATGCACATCACACCGGACATCATGGACACCCCGTGTCCCAGTACACAGCCAGCATGTCCCCAAGGCTGAGTGAAGCAGAACAACATGGCACAGATAATAATGCCAGCAGAGGTTTTTCCTTCTTGGGGGAAACAGGGCTGCGAGTCTCAGTGCTGTCAGCAGGACAGTGTCTGGAGTTCCAATGCTCCCAAGGACAGAGCTATGCTGAGCTGAGGTGCAGCTGCCCGTGCTGTCAGAAGGATATGCAGATGTCATGGTTTCGGTTGCCTCGACAAGCTCTACCAGAGCGTGGGCTACGGCAGTTCTGTGGTTGGGGCATGTCAATATCTCTCTGTGGTTTCCTAGATCTCTATCAGGAGCTGGCAGTCATTTTGTCAGAGGCAGTAACAGCTCCCAGAGCTCTGCTGGCAGGGTTCACTTGCACGACCTATAATGGGCATATGGCCTCTGCACTGGATGAGGACAGGGAGGTGGGTGATTGCCTGCCCTGAACACACAGGAAAGAGCCAGAGAGCCAGCAGAGCGCAGGGCAGTGTGTGTTGTGCATCTGGGGGGTGCAAATATTTATTTTCTACAAGAACAGCTCCTTGAAAGAAGCCCCAGTCCCAGGGTCAGCCTTCGTTTGGTGGATATAGGTCAGGACTGAGGGCAAAGTACAGCCACAATTGCAGAGAAGAGACAAAGCCAAGATGCAGTCTTGCTTTGCACCCCTACATGGATCTATGGCGTAAGCAATAAATTTGTAAGTAGGCCTCTCTGAAAGTAATGCCTCCTATTTATTGCCGTGGAAACTACAATTGATACAAAGAGTACAGTAACACTGTTTGATGGAGCAAATTCTCTGGTACAAAGCTATTTTTGACATAGTTACCACCATTAGCTGTGCATTTTCTCCAGTGATAATCAAGAACCTGCATGCTATGCTTGAACAAATCTACACACATGGAGGTGACCCTTTGTTTCACAGTTGCTATGAAAGCATTACTGCTAGGAAAATTTTGTCTATGCAGTGCAACTTTCACTGTGCTCACATGCACGGGCTGGTCTCCATCAGCATTCAACAAGCATCAGTGAATGTCAGTGGATGCCACTGTTTCCACATGGAGGAGTTCAGTGACACCCTTTGCTCCATCCACACTTCTGTGTCAGACACCGTTCTGTCAGACTGCCCGTCTGCTGCCAGCTGTCACACAGCAACAACACAAAATGGGGCACTGGTGGGAAGGCTCAACCTCTACTGCTGTACCACCAGCATCCACCTCTGATATTGTGGGCTGACACCATAAAACAGGAGGCATTACTTTCGGAGCACCCCTCAGAAATAGTCAGAACAATTGGCTAATTGCAATATTCCACTTGGAGTCTCCCCTCCAACCCCACAAGAGTGGTTTGGGAAAGTTCCTGCAGCACTGCTTGTCCTCCCCTCCCATGGAGACATGGTGATGGAGGGGATGCTGCCACAGGGGCAGAGCAGCAGTTCCTGCCACGCTCCACATCATGACAGAGGGGCTGTGGGAAGCCACAAAACTGCAGGGAGAGGAGCTCGTGGTGCCTCGTGAGCTGGACATGACTGAGCAACCACAGCCGTGAGCTGGCAAACGTGGTGCTGCTGAAGAGAAGAGGAGGTAAGAAAGGGGAAATGCTCCCTGTGCATCCTGGGGAGCCCATCACCTCGTGGCAAGGAGCCCCATGGCCGTGTGTGTGCACATAGGTCATGGTTCTGGCACAAGAGAAGCTCCAGGGCTCTGCCTCCTGCATCCCACCCTGTGCTGAGTAGGCTCCACATCTCTGTGACAAGGTGGTACTCAGAGCATCTCGGTGGGCTTCCCAGGGAAAGACCTTCTTGGCTGTGCCCAGACCCACCATGGAACCCAGGGCCCTCTGGCTGCTCCCAAACCATTTTGAAGGACTGAGCACCTTTGTCCTCAAGGCTTAGGACCTTGGCACTGAGATGGAGTTGACATCCTCCTAGTCTTGTGCTGAGATGCAGGGTGTTGCTGTCATCTTGATGAAGTTAAGTGTGAACCCGATGCTCAAAGACTGCTTCACATCCTGTCTTGGTCAGTGTCGCCCCTGGTTGGGTGCTGATTTGTTCAGATTTACCCCACCTCAAACAGCGGCTATTTTGGTATTTCCTAAACATGTTGCTTCCTTTTTTTTTTTTCTTCAGCCTTTCTGAGGCAAAGGTGCCGTGACATCAGTTACACTTTGGAAACTCCAAAATTTCCCCTTGAAATCTGACTGGCCACCAACCTGATAAAAAGCGAGGAGCATCCCAGCCACTCCACACCACGCCTGAGAGGACTCTGCTCTGCTCCTGCCTCTGCAGCTCACCTCTATCTATGATGACCACCGTAGCTGTGCCCTTCTCCATCCTCCTGATTGCTGCCCTCTTCCCTCAGACCTCTTCATCTCCTTGTGAGTACAGCATCTCCCATTGCTCCTCTCTGCTCTCCTGACATGGGAGTTTTTCACTTTGGCAGGCAGTCATATTGAAGCAGATGGAAACGGCAAGGTTCAACTTAGAAGTTTGTCATGCTTTCTTTGGACAGGTTTTCCTTTCTTTTTCCTTTTCTCCCTTTCTCCCAGGAAGGCAATGATAAATTTTACCTTGTAAGCACTGAAATTTTCAGGATTCAACTCCAGTGTTGTTGCTGGGCTTTAGGGGTGGTCCTAGGATGAGTGAGGGGACTTTTGTCACCAACACTGAGGAAAAGAGGACTGTAAAAGCTCTAACAAGACACCTCCAGCAGTGATCTCCACTACGCTTTGGTGCCCACACCCATTTCTTGATGACTTTCTGGGGAGATTGGATGAGAGTAGCTCCTAAGGAATGGCTGTCCATGCTGCTATGGGCATCAGATTGTGGTGGACTCATGGTGGACTCATATCAAACTTCTCTTCCAGTTGGGGCTGACACAACTGTGTGCTGCTTCAGCTACAGTGTACGGAAGCTGCCCCAGAATCATGTGAAGGAGTATTTCTACACCAGCAGCAAGTGCCCACAGCCAGCAGTTGTGTAAGTACCGGATCCAGCTTTGGGCTCAAGGGGAGAATTGCATTCACTGGGAACAAGGGGCTGGTGGTGTGAGGGACTGTGCCTGGAGCCAGGGGAAGGGGCAGCCACCACAGGTCCCCCATGCAGCGTGGGCTCTCATCCTCTTCGGCTGAGAAATGAGCCCACCCTGGTGCTTGGGATAAGGCTTGGGAAGGATGTCCCCATGAAGCCAGCTTGCAGCACGCAGGTTCTCCCAGGGTCCTTGAGCTCTCCATGGTACCTGGGTTCCTCTGGAGCTTGGGGGTTTGTGGCTCCCCTACAGGAGCCAATGCTGGTCACAGAACAGGGTGGTGGGTGCCCAGAAGGTGCTGACAGCTGACTCTGGGGCTGACACCTCCCTGCTCCACAGGTTCACCACCAGGAAGGGGCGGCAGGTCTGCGCGAACCCTGACGCCCGGTGGGTGAAGGAATACATCAACTTCCTGGAGCTGCAGTGAGCACCAGGACCTGAGGTGTCTGCCCTGGAGAGCCCTGCGAGTCCATGCAGCAAAGTCATGGCGTGGCGCTAGAAACCCCACTGCTGAGCACCAGGGCCAACAGACACCCTGGGGTCCCTGAGCTTCTTTTTGTCTTGCAACAGCATCATCTATACTATACAATTTAGCCACCCTACCATGCAGCTGCAATGCTGGGGACGCGTCTCTTGGCCTTGCAGGTCTGCTTGGTGCAGGCTGCTGTGCAAATGTTGTCTCCTCCTGTGCCTCTGCTGCTGGAGCGGGAGGGGATGTTCCCCTAAGAGCCACCTGTGGGAAGCAGTCTGTTAGAACGAGGTGTGAGTGCTGTCACATAATGCAGGCTGACCTCCAGGCCATCTGGCTGTGTCTTGCCATGCTGCAGGATCTGTGAATGAGATGCTGTGAAGGAGATCCTTCCCTAAGGGAGGAAACAGTACACTGGATATTTATGGGATGCTCATTCTGGAACCACACTTGTGCTCAAAACGCTGTGTCTTGCTGGTCCCAAAGAATAAAGGTTTCTATCTCTGTGACTAAGCTCTGGTGTGTCCCCTCCCACCTGCCCCCAGGGAGGGCAGGGTGCTGAGTAGAAGCTGTGGGACTGTCCTGATGCGTAGCTCAGCACCTGCCCACCCCACGCTGCTCCTGGGCCAAAAGGGGTGGGAGGGCTTCTTGGACAGGCAGGGATAGACGCCACTTCCCAGCTGGGAATCCCTCACCCTCCTTATCCTTAAACCCATCCCTGCTGCATCCCCAGCTCCCAGCACCGCCTGGGGCTCTGTGCCAGCCTTCCCCCACCCTCATCCCATCACATCAGGGACTGAGGCCACTGGGGGTTTGCCATGGGGCTCTGTGGCAGTCATGCAGGAGCAAGGCTCCACTTTGGCTGTGCTCACTCAGTGTTTTGCTGCAGATGATGTGCACCCACCTTCTGCTGCAGCTGCTTTGTGAAGAAAGCCTGAATTTGCTTTGAAAAAGCACAGCGAACCAAACCACCAGAAACACTTTATCAGGCTACAGTTTGCATTAAAACTTTCTGATGTCTTTGTGGGTAGAGAATGAAATGACATGGCTGACCTGCTCTGCTGCTGCAGCAACAACTGATCCCTGGTGCGTCACAGCAAACAGTGTCTGTTCATACCCCAAACTGAGCAGTGCTGCAGTGCTGTGCAGATGCTGGGATTGCCCCCTGCCCTCCCCTCACTCATCACCCCCTTTCCATAGCCCTCTCTGATCAAGGAGCAGCCTGTTCTGCTTCACTTTCTCATGAGTTGCCCTAAAGCTCCTGAAGGAGCTGGGCACCAGGTTTTCCTTTCTGGTGACACACTAAAAGGGTTCAGATTTGAAGGGGAAATGCTTCATACAGAGAGCATTGAGGCCCTGGCACTGCCCAGAGCTCTGGGTGCTCCATCTCTGGAGGTGCCCCAGGCCAGGCCAAGAAGCAGCAGTGGATGCTATAAGCCCCCATTTTAGGAGGTTTAGGAGGAAGGTTTCGTGAGCAATGCAGAGCCGCCAGTATCACAGAATCACAGAATTGCCAGGGTTGGAAGGGACCTCAAGGATCATGAATCTCCAACCCCCCTGCCACATACAGGGCCACTAACCATCCCACCTAATGCTAGACCAGGCTGCCCAGGGCCCCATCCAATCTTGTCCTTTTCCTTCATGGATTCTTGAAATACTTGGAAATTCTTCCTGTACTCTTACATGTATTAAGAGCTAGACTATGTATAAAAGGCAACATTTTTCTATTTCCCCTTTGGAACCAGACTAACTCCATTGAGGCTTATGCAGAGCTCATTCCCAGAGAAGATACAAAAAGATACAAAAAGATAGGAGAAGTCTCTCTGGAGAAGGAAACCCTACCAAAACTGCCCAGATTGTCAGATACCCTTATTACTCCTACCACGTCCAAACATCTGCTATTAAATGACAAATTTAGATACCACCCTATGGATCTGGGCTGGGTCACTTCATGGTGACTTGAGTTTAGTCTGGTGGTGCAGGACTAAATAACATTTCTGCATCTCCAAATCCCCACAGTATTGGCATATAAGAAGCAAGGATAACATTACAAAAGAGGCAGGGATCCTAGTCACTGGTCAGGAAAGACTCTGTAGACAACACTTCTGAAAGACACTAAGTCAGCAATGTCAGACCGTATTCTGTGTGACAGAAATCACTTCTGTTCCCTTTAGTAATTGTTCTGTTACAGAGCATTCACCCATGGACTGGAATGTGTATATACAAATTAAGAAGGTACTGCCCTGGCTCCCTGCAGCTCAAAGTTCAGGACAACCAAGAGATAAAGACTGGTTCCTTCCCAATAGTATCAAAAGAAACAATACATAAGAAGTCTACACAACTGGTAACATAAAAAAAAATAGCTGAAATATAATTTCAGTGCTTTTGAAAACTTACTATTACACAAAGTTTGGTTTCCTAGAATAAAGATGTAGTGAATTATGCCTCTTATTTAAATAAATTGGCAGAATTTTTTCCATCTGTGGGATCATAACATAGCAAATCTGGCTCCCCAGAGTCCTCATACCCTGTATAAGACAGCAATATCTGTAAGATTCAGCACATTTTTGGATATAAACAGAACAGGTGCAATTCAGACAGAGACAAAGCAATACAATGAGCTTCCCACTCCTTTATCAGCTTCTTGGGGATTGGTGGCTTTTGCCCTTGACAAATTGCACGTGTAAAGTTGTTTGAGAACTCCAGTACAGCCTTCCACTTTGCAGAACAGGTACAGATTCATTCTGAGGACAGAACATAGCAAGGCCATGAGGTTTTTTTGGACAAGAATACTTGCTGAATACCTGAACACCCTACGTCGCCTGCTGCCAACAAGCATCTGAAGACAATCAGTTCTTCACAGAGACAAGTCTCCCTTTGTGTAGGAAAGGTAATCAGTAACCTTGTTACTAGTCATTGGACTTACAAAAGAAATAGTTTATTGTATTTTATTTTGACTGAAATACTCTAATACATGAGATACAGTTTAATAATATTATTCCATGACATTATTAAAAATTATTAAACTTACCTAACAAAACTTTCTGCTGATGTGAATAAGCTAAACCAATTCTGTTGCTCCTAGAGGAAAAGACTCAGGAATGTTTGGGCGTTATGAACAAGAACTGTACCTGATTTTTTCATTCTCCATGAACATCAAGTCTACATTTTTTTTATACATTGCTCTCAGCTAGCGATGAAAGCCATTTTCAGGTTATCAGTGCTGTCAAAAGTTTTCTAAGAGTGAGGTTTTTCCCTATTTGTATCAGTACTTGCCTCCAGGCAGGCACCTTCTTGCTTTATCAAAGATGCTAACATTTATGCTCAGAAAAGTAATGCATGCTAACCCAAGCAGACCAGATGATACTCCAGCCCACAGGTATCACACTTCAGGGCCAGTGAGTTTTGAGAAGGGCAAGAAAACTCTCCCCAGCTTGCTACAAGAAGGGAAAATTCACAGAGAAGAGCTCACCAACTGATGCTTTCAGGGGGGAAAAAAAGAAACAACCCAAATAAAAATCAAACATATCCATCAAATAACTATCATCTAATTTGGGAACAGATATCCCAAGAATATGTGTATATGTCTATATATACATAAGCAAAACAAATTGATTGATCTTTGAGTTGGAGATACTGGAAAGAAAGAAAATATTATTTTCTTGGTTGATTTCCACACTGCTCCACTGAGTAAAAGTGCTAACACGAGACAGGTAGGGAACACAGAAAGATCTATAATGCTCAGTCTGACTCATCTTTCATTTTACATCAAAATAAATTATCTAGGTGAATAATTAGCGTGACAAAACTGATAATGGGACTTACTTTCATTATTTTCAATATCTAAACGAGGACTATAAGAAAGAGGACAGACTCTTTAGCAGTACCTGCTGTGATAGGACATGGGGAGTTTTAAACTAAAAGGAGAGATTTAGATTGCACATAAGGAAAAAGATTTTTACAATAATAGTAGTGAGTCACTGGAACATGTTGTCCAGAGAGGAGGTGGCTGCCCCATCCCTGCAGACACTCAAAGTCAGGCTGGATGGGGCACTGAGCACCAGATCATTGCAGGGGTGTTGGACAAGATGACCTCTGCAGGTTTCTTCCAACTCAAACAATTCTCTGATTCTATAATTAAGTCATGAGCTGTTTTTTGCCTGCAGGACAATGTGCTCTAAGGAGCAGAGGTAATGTTATTTGAATACATAACAAGTACATCCTAGTAATACAACTTTTCTGAACCTCCAGCATCACATAGGTCAGAAAGGCAAAACTCAAAAATACTCAGCTGTAAGGTCGGGTTCAAACCAACAGCTGAAAAAGAGCTGCAAGAAGCGGCTGTGGCAGGATGTGATTGCCCTAATACAGCAGGGCTTCCCAGAAGTAACCACGTCCCCAGTCCTTGTGGTGAGGGCAGTGAAGGCAAGCAGCCCCTGGGCTGATGAAGGGAGAGATGCAGAATGGGGTCAAGAACAACACGAGGGGATAAGGCAGCCTGGGGGCTGATCACTCTGGCCCCAGAGCTCTTCTGAGCTTCACTGGCACAAAAGGGACAGCCGAATGTGCTTCAAGCTCCCCAAAAGTGAGGTGCTTCGGCTCTTTGGGTGGCTTTCTGTTTACTCTTAAAGCATTCCAACAGAACAGATAACTGAATCGTAGCTGACCACACAGTGCAGGAATAGTGCGTCTGTTTGGGCTGTGCCTTCTCTCTGTCTCACCCAAAGAATGTCAGTGGAAACAAGGAACAGCTGTGTAAGCTCCAAGGGCCTGGTGCTGTGCTGAGACTCAGGCACTGTGAGCTGCTGCTGCACCTCCTGGGCACGGCAGAATCTCTGCCCTGCCCTGAGCCTGCAGGCAGCTGCCAGGTCCCCAGCAGCACCCTGTGATGTCAAACCCTCCCCATTTCCCACTGCTCCCATTTGCCTCATCTCCCTGGTAGGATTCCTAGTGTGGGCTGGTGAGATGAAGCTCCGATAGCTCCAGTCAGGAAAACGAAAGCAGAGGCTGTGGGAAAATCCTGTGGCTGCATGGGCTGCTGGCCAGGGACTGCCCCAAGAGCAGCCAGCTCTGCACCAGGTTCCCCATCTGTGCTGGGCCTGGGCAGAACCCCCACACACGGCCACCAGCACAGCACAGCCATCCTTTGTTCTCCCCTACAGCTCAGGGGCAGAGTCTGTGTGGGTGCCCACAGGCCCCCTCCTGCTCCAGGCTCTGCTTCTCTATGCAAAAGGTGCTGAGTGCAGGTTGGGATGCTCTGTGGGTTCAGCAGAACCACAGCCCCACAGCTCCCAGCCCCACCTGCTCTGTTCCTGGATGAGGGAACGGAGGGCACCCACAGTAAATTTGCAGACAACACCAAGCTGGGGGTAAGAGTGGATCTGTCTGAGAGTAGGAAGGCCCCACAGAGGGATGTGGACAGGCTGATCAATGGGCTGAGGGCAATGGGATGAGCTGCAACAGAACCAAGTGCTGGGTCCTGTGCTTGGGTCACAACTGCCCCATGCAGAGCTATGGGCTTGGGGCAGAATGGCTGGAAAGATGCGTGGAAGAAAAGGAGCTGGAGGTGTGAGCTGATACCCACTGACCATGAGCCAGCAGCATGCCCAAGGGGCCAAGAAGGTTGAGGGAGTTTGGATGGGTCATGTGGGGCAGGGGAGGCTCAAGGAAGACCTCATTGCTCCTTCCAACTGCCTGAAAGGAGGTGGTGATTGGGGGGGCTGGCCTCTGCTCCCAGGTAACAGCGATGGAGAAATGGTGGCCTCCCAGTGCACCAGGGGAGGTTCAGGTTGGATATTAGGAAAAATTTCTTCTCCAAAAGAGCGGTGATGCTGTGGCACAGCTGTCAGGGAAGTGTCACTGTGCCTGTAGGTTTTCCAGAGCTGTGGGAATGTGGCACTGAAGGCTGTGGTTACAGGCATTTTGGGGGTGGGTTGGGGCTTGATTTGGTGATCTTAGAGGTCTCTTCCAACCTTACTGATTCTATGATCCCACCTCAAGACAGACCTTTCAGCAGATTGTCTCTCCCCCATGATTATCCCCCAGCTTAAGAGGACATGGGCCCCAGCACAGGATGAAATTTTTGCAGGCATGCTGACCGACCCAGCCGTGCTGAGAGTTGCCCCTCTCTGCTGTGCCCTCAGTGCAGTGCTGGGACTGTGGCAGGGCTAAGCAAAGGGCCTTTCCCCATTCCCCCAGCCTGGCAGATGGGAGCCGTCCCGCTGCTCCTAGGGGCCCTGCAGCCTTCCTGCCTGCAGTCAGTGCTGCTGCCGGGAAAACACAGAGCTGGATGGAAATCACGAGGCAGCTGTGAGGTGCTTTCCCAGCCCTGGAGCTGCCAAGTCTGAGCTATAAGCTGTGGATTAAAAATATTAAACAATAGGAGAAATGTGTTTTGCATTAGGGAGAAGAAATACTGTCTGAACAGAACAGATGTTGTGCAGACACAAGGCAATGCCAGAGCAGCTCGGAAGCACCTCAGTGTGCTGAGCATGATGCGAGCACGATCTCTTGCAACTTGCTTGCTCCTATTGCAAAGCCACACATGAGCCACCCGCGTGCCCTGTGCCTGGTGCTGGACGTGGAGCAGGGCTGGCTCCCATCTGCAGCCCCACAGCAGCTCTCCCTGTTTGTGCCCTTTGAAATGTGCCCATCCCCATCCTATCACACACACAGTGCCTTCTGGGGAGCCAGGCACTGAGGTGGGGTGCATGACGAGCCCCTCCTTGTGTGTCTGGTTCATAGGGGATGTGGTGGGGAAACAGAGTCAGAGGATATTCATGTCTGTTGTGTGGAAACTTTATGGGCTTATCTCAAACCACTTCCCATCATCACATGCTGTGCAGGGTGTGCTGATGGGCTAGTGGCGAGAGTTTGCCTCTGTGATGGTGTAAAGGACATCAAGGGACAAAAAAACAGAGGTTTTATCCACATTCTTTATTCTCCACAACACCTTCATACAAGTGAGCCAGAGCCTTCCATCCCCTGAAGATGAGACCCCTAGCCACCCTCCCTTAAATACCCTCCCTGCCACTCTCCCATAAATATGATCCAGATATGAGAATACTGCCTATCTCTTATGGTAATTTCTTAAATAATTTTAAATAATTTAAGAACAATAGATGTGTCGTGGGCCTTTCTAGTCTGCAGTCAGGCAGAGGTGTCAAGCTATGTGCTGGGGCTGCAGAGTGGGCTGTGCAAACAGCACCCGATATGAGATGTCTGTGGTCCCCATTCTGCAGTCCCTGGGAGCTGCAAGCAGGAGACGTGGGCTCATGCAGCCGTCCTGAAGCCACGCTCCATGTCAGGAGCTCGTGGTGATGCGGCTGGCATGGCAGCAGTGTCCCATCCTGCCTGGCTCCGCTCAGTCCCGCCTGGCGCTCCGCAGGTAGCTCTGTACCCAGGGGTCACTGGGGTTGGCGCAGACTTCGCGCTTCTTTGTGACGAAGCTGTGGGACGAGGGGGAGGCATTGAGATCACTGCTCAGAGCAGGAGCCTGGGTTTGGGGTTCACAAGAGGTTCCCCACCATCCCCAAGCTGTATTCACCATGATTCCACCACACCCATTCTTCTCCCACATCAATTCCTGCAGGAATATCCCTGGGAGTCCCCTCAAGAGCATCCCTGGCCACCCCTGCAGGAGCATCCCAGCAGTCCCCGTGTCAGCCCTTTCCCCTCGGTTCCCCTTGCCTTGTACACAGCAAACCGTGTGCTCTCCGACCCGCAGCCCTCAGCTGATCCCACACACCCACACCACGTCCATATTGGTACCTACATGATGGCTGGCTGTGAGCAGCTGGTGCTGGTGCTGTAGTGACTCCGGATGAGGTTCCGTGGGATCTTGTGTTTTATGTAAGAGGTGCAGCAGGTCGGGACGTCGGGTCCCACTGGAAGAGGCAGAGAGAGACAGCATGAGTGCAGGGTGAGCTCAGGGAGCCATGCAGGGAGGAGGGAGCAGAGAACTAGGGGACAGTTAAGGTTGAAAGGTGCATTGGAGATCACCTGGTTCAATGGAGCCAGGGGAGGAGACATGAGGAACTACTCAGCTCCTCGTCAGATACTGGAGTCCCTACACTATGATCAGGAGCAAGGATCCCAGAATCAGAGTGGTAGATGGATGAATGAACAGATGGACAGACGGATGGACAGACGGATGGATGGATGGATGGATGGATGGATGGATGGATGGATGAATGGATGATTTTCCAGTTTGGAGGCTCCTATATGAGCTGATCTAAGTGCAGAGCAGAGAGAGGCTGAAAAATTCCCTGCTCTCTGTTTCAAAAGAGAAATTACAACAAAGGCTCAGAGCTGTTTTTCCTTCTCAAACGTCGGAGCAGGACTCACCTGGGGCAGAGGAGGCTCGGGAGCAGGAGGATGCAATGAGGAGAAGAGCGAGAACAACTGCAGAGAGCTTCATCTTCCCGTTGGATGAGAGCTGTCGGAGCAGGACCAGGAGCTCGGGCAGATGCAGGGCAGTCTGCAGCAGCTGGATGCAGATCCCTTTTAATAGGAAGTCCTGGAGTCAGCAGGGAGACGATCCAGTGGAAATTCCAGGATGATGACAGAGGATGTCACGAAAGTGAAATAATAAAAAAAAGAAAGAAAGAAAAAAAAAGGCAGAAAGAATGGGATGTAGTTCACACTGGAGCCAAGAATGCTGGGATACTAAGCTTTGAGTCAGCATTCATTTTCGTTTTTATCAGCTCAAAAGGAAACTCGATTGTGCCAAGTGGCATGACCACAAAGAAGAGTTCTATTCATCATAATTACAGGAGGGATTTTCCCTATGAGTCTGGATAGCAAAAGAAACAATGTTTGGTTAAGATTACACAACTCTGGAAAAAAAACAAGCCCGAGGGGTGCTCGTGCTGCTGTTGTGCCGGGTGTTTGTCAGGGGTTTGCTGCATGGCAGCATGGGGAGCACCACGGGTCCACACAACCCAGTGCCCAGTGGGGAGCAGTGGGGTTGGAACCCCCTACATGTCCTGGGTTGGGGTCATCCCCCCTCAGGGGCAGCACTTTGCACTGCTGAGCTGTGTGAGTTTCTGCCACCCCATTCCTAGCTTGCCCAGCTCTCTCTGCACAACAGCACTGATGTACCACCACTCCTCCCAGCTCTGTGCTGTCTGCAGAACTGCCCGGGGTGCATGCTGTACCCATGCCTGGGTCATCAGGATATGGAACAGGGTTGGCCCCAGGGCTGCCCCTGTGGTGGGAGCCGAGCATGCAGCTGGCCATCAGCCCACATCACTGCCCGTTGCAGTTCGCCTGTGAAGATGCTACAGTCAGAGCCTGGCAGAATTCAAAACAACCTCTGCTCCTCCTCCTGTGGGCTCTCAGGATCTGCCTGCCCACAGCCACCCTAACAGCCATAGGCCACAGAATGCAGGGTTCCACTGATACACCCCAGGCATGAGGTGCAGAAGATCCCCAGCACAGGTGAGGATGTGCGCACATGGAGGATCCCTGCTGCAATCCACTTTCCTGCATGTTTAAACCCAACAGTGAATTTGGGATGTCAGTGTGTGCAGCAGGCTGCAGCTCACCCTGCAGCTGATGTACCCTCAGCAAACCTGAGGACACACTCACACTTTTAATGAGCCAAAGCCTCTTTAGGAGCTGACAAGGGCATCAGGAAGATGTGGGGCTTTGCTAGGCTCAGAGTGGGCAGGGCAGGGTTCTGCTTTCCCAGTGGAGCAGAGCAGATCCATGCAGAGGTGCACGACAGAACAGCAGGAGCCCCAGCCTTAGGATGAACTGCTGCAGAACAACATCAAAATTCAGCTTTTTTGCCATGGAAATAAAGCGTGCATGAACAGACAGCTGAGGCTTTCTGTTCCCCTCTGCTTGCAACTCACGTGATAAGCGTGCGCGGGGAAATCGCAACCACCACACCAGCTGCTGGCTGCTGCATTTCCAACGCAGAGGGGCTGTGGCTGGGAGCTCTGTGGCTAACACCAACCAGGGAGAGCTTTGCTCACAGAACTTCACACCTCCTGCAGCGACCAAGATGCGGAGCTGGGGCTTGCACTGTGCTGTCCTGCTTGGCACTGGGGAGTGCAGTGGAAATACAGCGCAGCACAGATGCTCAATGGAAAGAAAGGAGCCATCTTTTATCACTGTTGAATTTGGCCAGGCTGAGCTGGAGGGAGGAGGAGGCTCTGGAAGGAGTTGCTGCAACCATAGCTGATGCTGGTGCCATTAGCACAAACCACCTGTGCTGCAGCCCCCAGCTCTGAGCTGCACCCACAGCCAGCAGTGCAGCCCAGCTGCTCCCTGCAGCTCATCCCGCTGCCCCGCACCTACTTTTGCCTCCAGTTCTCAGTTCTCTGCCCTGTGTTTGCTGCTTGCTCCACCCTAGGGCTCTCTGCCATCAGGAGGCTCCTGCAGCTCGAGCAATTTCCAGCCAATCTCTCTACCAAGCTTTCCCCGTTCCTGGAACGGAGCTGCTTTTATTGCTTTGGCCCCACCCAGCCATGGGCATGAGGTTTGTTTGGGTGTGGGGACATCCATAAAAGAAAGCTACAATTATTCACTAAGGAGGATTATGGGGAAGGATGCTGCAGTGTGCTCTGCTCCTGGCACAGCCGTCCCAGGGACCTTGGGGGTCCTGGAGCTCAGCTCAGCCATCACACAGCACCCCAACCCTGGAGCTTCAGGGAGAGCTGGGCTGCAGAACGGCTTTATGCAACTGTGGAACTTTCTTCTCCTGTTTGTTTGCTGATGCTGAACACACAAAGTCCAATGGGTTCATTGATAACCTGCCTTTACTTCTCACCCTAGAAGAGCTCTGGATATTCTGCCTGCTTTTCCTGGGGCAGAAATCTTCCTGTAAGTCTGAGTAATGTATGTCCTAGGGCTCCAAAGGCACTGCAAGTCCATTTTCCCTGTTTCTCTCTTTGGCCAAGGACTGAGAAGAGGCCAAAGCGAGGTGGATTTTTTTTATTACACTCTAATTTGGTTTGAAATACCTTTCATTTAATCCTCTTTTGTTTGCTTTATTTCAAAACAAAGTCCAGGAAAAATCTGAGGCATGCATAGGGAAGCATTAGTTTTCCCCAAAGTATTTTTCCAGAAACTGCCCCTGCTGGAAGAAGGCTGACCCTGTGATGAGATACAGCCTCTTATCAGCACAGTCAGCTTGCTGAATCCTGTCTGCATGGCTGGCACAGGCTGGATTCCCACCACAACACCATTTAGGGGAAATGCAAAGCCCGGAGCGGCTGCACGGCCCTCAGCCTCACAGAGCTGCTTCACTCATCAGAGGTTCCCACCGCAGCGGGTTGCAGGACATGACATCATATTGAAAATTCCAATATTTCTCCAGAAGTGTTAAGAATAGGAAAGAAAAGGATCTCTGGATGCTTCAGAAAAGCCATCTGGAGGCGAGCCTCGAGCAGGGCGAGATGAAACTGCTGCAGGCTGTGCTGGGCGCAGTTTCTGAACTCAGGACAATAGTAATACTTCCTTCTCCAAATGAATGCCAACAATTCAGCATTAAAAACTGCTAAAAACAGCAGCTTACATCAGCCTCATTTGCAGTGTTCCTCTTTCATCGGTCACGTTAAGAATTTCCCTACTTCTATTGTGAGTAAATGTATTTGGGGCCTTTTCTTTACTTAGCACTTTCTCCTGGTAGTTCCGTGCGCCAGCAGACAAGCTCCAACACGCAGCATTATCCATGCAAATTAATGCAATACCACTGATTGCTTCAGCCAGCCCGTCCTGCTGACTCCAAGCATTGCCTGCCCATGGTGGCAGCATCGAAACCAGATGGAACCAGAGTGGGAAAACATCATTTTCCACCACAACCTCTCCTACACTGACCAGTTTCCTGTAAGGAGCTCACCTTGTCCACCCTTCCACAGCCATCCCTCCACCCCAGAGCATCACCAGGTCAGGTCCTTCATCCCACACACCCCCATGGCTTCTCATCTTCCCAAAAGGGGAAGAGCGAGAATAAATGACTTTCTCATTTCATCATAATGGGGTTGTGGGGGTATGGGTGAGGACATGAGGACACATTTTTTAGGCACTTGTTACAAAATCTCAGGGCATGGCTGATATGACTACAGCCTCCCACCTCTCTCCAGCACACGAATAGCTGGCAGGGTGGTGGTTCTGACAGATTTCTGAGGAAAAAAACACACTCTTAGGAAGTGAATACCCCACATTTGTCATTGTTTTTTGGCTTTCAGCAGTGGAAAAAATTTGGCCTTTTCCTGGGCTCTGTAATAGTCATGGAATCATAGAACCATAGATTCACCGAATTATAGAATGACTTGGATTGGAATGAACCTTGAAGATCATGTAGTTCCAACAACACTTATATGGTCTGATAGATAGGGTGAAGGGAAATGGCTTCAAACTAGAAGAAGGGAGATTTAGGTCAGATGTGAGGAGGAAATGCTTCACCCAGAGGCGGTGCAGTGCTGGCACTGCTGCCCTGAGCTGTGTGTGCCCCATCCCTGGAGGTGCCCCAGCCCATGATGGGCAGCCTGAGCTGGGGGGCACCCAGCCCACAGCAGAAATGGGGCTGACTGGGGCTGTGAGGTCCCTTCCAATCCCAACCATTTTATGATGCTATGATAAAATGACCTAATTTTTCTGTGTTAATGAGATCTCTCTCTTCCCCACCATTTCTCCCACCTGCCTTGCCTACGTCATGTACCTTTGGGAGCAGGACAGGACCAGATGGCTGTAGGTGGCAAATCTCAAGACACGACCCAGGAATGCTCGAAGTTACAGTCACAGGGAACAGCTCAGAGGCAAACCATGCTCTTACGTATGTCTGCAAGCTGCATTCCCCGAGCAACAAGAGAGAAGAGCCAAGAAGAACTCAGAGCTGGCTCCTGGTCCAGCTGGCTGAGCACCGGCTCCCCGCCGCCTGCCGGGCTGCGGAGGAACGCTCCCTCCTCATCTTCCAGCTTTTGGGGGCTGAGCACAGGCACAAGCAGTGACACATCACAAGGCTGTGCTCCCATTTAACATGACCTGGGAAAACTGGAGAGTTGGGAAGGGAGGAACCTGATGAGGTTTAACAACAGCAAGAGTAGAGTCTTGCATCTGGGAAGGAATAACTGCAAGCATCAGTACAGAACAGAGGATGACCTGCTGAAAGTTCTGTGGAGAAGGGCCTGGGGGGCCTGGCGGACAACAGGTTGGCCATGAGCCAGCAGTGTGTCCTTGTGGCCACGAAGGCCAGTGGTGTCCTAGGGTATGTCAAAAACAGTGTGACCAGCCGGTCAAAGGAGGTGATCCTCCCCCTCTGCTCTGCCCTGGTGAGGCCACGTTTAGAATACCGTGTCCAGTTCTGGGCTCCCCAGTTTAAAACAGACAGGGATCTTCTAGAAGGAGTCCAGCAGAGGGCACAAAGATGATGAAAGGCCTGGAGAATCTGTCGTATGAGGAAAGGCTGAGTAACCTGGGTCTGTTCAGCCTGGGGAAAAGAAGACTGAGAGGAGATCTGATCAATGTTTACCAGGGAGCAGCACTGTGTAGTGATGGGACAAAGAGTGATGGCCTAAAACTTGAATGTAGGAAGTTCCATACAAACATGCAAAAGAACTTCTTTATGGTGAGGGAGATGGAGCACTGGAGCATGTTTCCCAGAGAGGTGGTGGAGTCTCCTTTTATGGAGATCTTCAAGACACCTACCTGTGTGACCTGCTGTAAGGTACCTGTGTAGCAAAGGGGTTGGACTCAATGATCTCTTGAGGTTTCTTCCAACCCCTATAATTCTGTGATGTGCTTGGAGCTGGGGGGAGCCTGTGAGGTAAGCTCCAGTGACCCCTTGGTGATGAGCATTCTTTGGGATCTATCCTGCTCACATCTGGGACTCCCCTGTTGGAGTGAGATTTGGAAAACATTCATCTTCAGAGTTCCTGGTCTTAAGGAGCAGTGTCTTCTTCACTCTCCACTGTACTTGCAGAGCCACAGTCAGCATTCCTATGCTCCATTTGGCTCTGCACATCTTTGTGCCCAGCAATGACCAGCTGCACCTCACTACCAGGAGTCACTGGCATTCAAGTGTCTAATCTAAACTGGACATTTAAGGTCTTCTCCTCAACAGTAGGGAACGTGCTTAAGCAGGGGGTTGGACTTTATGATCCCCAGAAGTCCCTTCAAAACCCTACAATTCTGTGACTCTGAGACTCTCATGGGACATGGATGAGGCATGCATCTCCAGGAGCCCATGGCTGGCAGCCCCACATTGTGCTGCTGGGTCAGTGGGGGCTGTGCAGATATGGGATGGAAGCAGAAGAGACCTTAGCCCCCTTTTTCATCATGTGTGCAACTCCTGCAAGGATGCGCTGTCATCTCTAAGCAGCTCATGCAGGTTAGGTAACACAGGCCTGTTGACAAATACAGGGACCTCCAAAGCGGAACTTCTTACTAAAGGAAGATGCACAAGAGAAGCAAAAATAGATATGGTGATTGTTTCATATCCTGTGCCACTGGGGAGGCTGTAGCCACCACATTGTTCCATCATGAGACCGTGCTGCGATCAGCCCTTTCTCAGGGGGAAATTCCACCGTTCTACGCAAGCAGCTGCCCGGAGCCGTGCACCCTATAAATTGGGCAGTTGCTGAATGTCTCAGCATCACAGAGAAAAGAGACCTCCAAGCTCCACTTGCACTCTCCAGCTCCTGCCACCACTCCCATCTGACATGAAGGTCTCTGTGGCTGCCCTCGCTGTCCTCCTCATCGCCATCTGCTACCAGACCTCTGCTGCACCAGGTAAGTCCTGGCTCTCCAAACCTCTCCAAATGGGGACCAGGGGGACGCTGCTGCTGGAACAGGATCCTCCCTGCCAGCCCTTCCACCATGGCTCCTTTCCCTGACCCATGAAGGCTCTGCTCCCAGCTCCCTGCCACACCTCCCTGCCCCATGCCCCTGCTCACAGCCACTTTTGCCTTTACAGTGGGTTCCGACCCGCCGACCTCCTGCTGCTTCACCTATGTCTCCCGGCAGATGCCCTTCAACTTTGTGGCAGACTACTACGAGACCAACAGCCAGTGCCCTCTTGCTGGTGTTGTGTAAGTGTCCCCCTGGTCAGAGGGCTCTGCCTTTGGGCTGGGGATTCCCCTGCATTTTGGAGCTGGGAGGGAACAACTCCTTTCTGGGGGAATAGGATGGATGTGCAGCCAATGGGTGCAAGGGGATGCTGGTGGGGCTCACACCGCTCCTGCCCCAGGGCTCTGCTGCCCGTGTGGTCAGCACCATGTGCCCAGATTGTGCCGACTATCAGCAGGAGAGGGTGTGGAGTGGAGGAGGGGTCACCTCCACGCAGGATCCCATGGGATCTCACCTGGCTGCTCCCTGCAGGTTCATCACCAAGAAGGGCCGTGAGGTCTGTGCCAACCCTGAGAACGGCTGGGTGCAGGAATACATGAACAAGCTGGAACTGAACTGATGCACCAGGATGGGATAAGCAAGCTATGGCCAGTTGCAGGCCCTGCCAGAAACGCAACTGTGACATTGAGAGCTACCCAAGAGACTGAAATCTGCTTTACTATTTATGTATTAATTGTTTATAATGGAAAGGAGCAGGTGAAATAACACCACTCCAACCAAATTGGAAGATTATTTAATAGATATATATTTTTAAATTAAGAGTCATGCTTGGATTATATTTTCTATATTTAATGTATTTTTGATATAATATTTAATTCAAATGTTGAGAAATAAATATTTTTGTAAGAAATTTCTGTCTTTGCTCTGAAATTATAATTGTGATGACATCTTCATTTTTTGCCCAAGGAGGCTGTGGATGCCCCATCCCTGGAGGCATTCAAGGCCAGGCTGGATGTGGCTCTGGGCAGCTTGGGCTGCTGGTTGGTGACCTGCACATAGCAGGGGGTTGGAACGAGATGGTCATTGTGGTCCTTTTCAACCCAGGCCATTCTATGATTCTATGATTGATTCTCTTTACTAAGCTGGCAAAACCTCACAAGCTTCCCTATCTTATGTTTTGTGAAATAAGCAAAAGAGAGAAGAAAAAGAAAAAGAAAAAGAAAAAGAAAAAGAAAAAGAAAAAGAAAAAGAAAAAGAAAAAGAAAAAGAAAAAGAAAAAGAAAAAGAAAAAGAAAAAGAAAAAGAAAAAGGGGAAGATGTGAGAGGAGCACAGATGCAGGTAGTTTGGATCATTCATTGTAAGTTATTTAGTTACTGCTGGTGTATAACTACCAGCAGCCAATTAAATTCCACTCAGCCTTCAGGGGTTGAAATCATAAAATTATTAAGGTTGGAAAAGATGACCAGGATCATCAAGTCCAACCTCAACCCATCCCACCATGCCCTCTAACCACGTCCCTCAGTGCCATAATGTTTTCCTCCATGCAGCTTCCAGCCTCTCAGCCCTGAGCCCATAGAGCTGCATGGGACTGTTGTGACCCAAGCACAGGACTGAGCACTTGGTCCTGTTGCAACTCATCCCATTGGCCTCGGCCCAATTCTCAGCTATTCCCAGAGCTGAGAGCTGAGAATGGAAAAACCATGCTTCACTGCCAAATTTTTAGAACTATTTGGTAAAACTTGTGTAGCTATGACACGAGGCTTAGCAAGTGCACGTCTCTCCAGAGAACAGTTGTTTTTCCCCTGCACCACCAAAACCTGCCCATCTCTGTACAGATCTGAAGCAGTGTGCTGCACATCCCCCCCAGCCCCTCTGCCAGACCCATACCCAAGTAGCTGGTGAAGATGGAGCCCACCAAATGACTGCAGTGAGGCTGATGGGATGAGCTCTGGACATACACAGTTGTGTGAGAAATGAAGGTTTGAATTCTACTGTGCCTGGACCTCCAGTGCTCATAGCATATTCCAAGAAGTTTGTTTGGGTCCTGGAGGGCCCAGGTCCTTTCTGGAAGGGCTGTGCTCTATCATTTGTTCCTCAGCTTGTGTTGACTGTGGAGGTTGCTGTGACCCGGGTATAGTCGCACTGCATTTGTTGAACTTCATGAGGTTCTCCTAGAGATACTGCTCAGTCTGTTCAGGTCTCTCTGGATGGCATCTTGTCCCTTGGTTACATCAACAGCATCCTCAGTGTGGTGTCATCCACAAACTGCTCAGGGTGCACTTGATTCTGCTGCCAATGCCATCAAGGAGATATTAAAGAGCACTGGTCCCAGCACTGATCCCTGAGGGACACCACTCGTCACTGATCTCCATCTGGACACTGAGCCATTGACCACCACTCTCTGGGTCCGGTCTGGCAAGCATTTCCTCTTCCATCAAAAAGTCCACCCACCAAATTCATATCTTTCCAATTTGGAGAGAAGGATATTGTAGTGGATGATGATAAAGCCCTTACCAAAGTTTGGATAGATGGCATCAGTGACTTCCCTTGCCATCATGAAATTATGCTATCATAGAAATCCATAGGTTGGTCAGGCAGGACCTGCCCTTGGTGAAGCCATATTGACTGCCTTATATCACTTCCCTACCTTCCATGTGCCTTAGCATAGCTTCTGGGAATCTGCTCCATGATCTTATCTAGCAGCATTCCAACACCCTCAAGGATGAGAGAAAACCTTGGCTGCTATGTACCAGCCAACACCCTGCCTTTGTGCTGCAGCCTGTGTCTTCACCCAGAGGCCAAGTCTGGCACAGAGCTGGGCACCAACATCTGCCCTCATTCCAGGAGCAGGGGAGAGGAGCCCTTATCCAGGACAGGGAGACTGACAGCAGGGATTCAGTCCTACACAGTCCCTCATGGTTGCAGCTCCCCAGACCTCACAGCACCAGGAGCAGTCCCACAGCAGTGGGGTCCTCACTGAGAGTCAGCTACCAGCACCACCAGCCCATGCACTGTGTGAGTCCATTGCAAACAACAGCATGCACCAACGTCCTTAGCTCCTGGGTCATGCCAAAGCCACCCACAGCAGACACCTACTCTGCATACCTCAGCTAACCCACACCACTATTCTGGGAGCCTGCAGGGAGTCCTGAATTGCTCATGTCGTTCTTTACACCCACCCACGTGTGACAGCTCAGTGCATGCGAGGAGCGCAGCGCTCTGCTAACCCACACCCCTGGCACACGGCTGTGAGTCTGCACCAGCAAAGCGAAGCTGATCGCAGCCCACAGCTACCAGCACAACTCAGAAGCAGCATTCCTGGCACCCAGATGGCTCAGAGCAAGGGCAAGATGCAGCCCACAGCAGAGTGGCTCATCAGGGCCACAGCTCTGCTTGGGCTCAGACAAAGCCAGACAAGAGCGATAGCCTCAGTGGTTTCAGAATTTGCAAGATGCTGAAGAATTTGCTGCTCTGTTTGCTCATCCTGCAAACAGAACATGGTATTTACTGCACGTTCTGTGCAATGTACATTTCTTGAGAGTCGGTGCTTTTCGTGCTCTGGTGAGTTTTGGAAATGCAACAAAGCATTGCGTTTTCTTTGAGTAAAACTGAACTGTATTGTTTGAAAGAAAGTCTACTATATGTTTCATGAAAGTTTTTATGAAAACCATTTGAAAACCTAAATGGGAACCAAGCTAAAATCTCCACGGGCATTTTGAGGTAGAAAGGCACACAAGGAGCTGGAGATCAGGGTGTTTTTTGAGAGAACACATCTCTAGAACTGCCGGTCTGTAAATATGATTGCAGAGAATCCTACCAGGGACAATCAGCCCCCAAAGCCACTGTGAGTAATGCACAGATTGCTCAGCAGAGTGGCTCTGTGATCACACAGTTCTAGATGTGTCCATTCTGGTTACGTGACGTCTTTAGGGTGCCTTTACTAGAAGCACATGTCAGAAAGATACTCTCAATCCAAAATGTCCCCACAGAACACACATACACACATATGTATATGTCCATCTTTCTTGGTCATATAGAAATCAAAGGGAAATGGTGTGATGGTGATCATATAGATCTGCCTCTTATTAACAAATAACCCATGTCCAAGCATGAGGTTCACCAGGCTGCTTGGTGCTGTTTTCCTGGGAACAGAAGCTGCAGGAAGACTCAACTGCTCAGGTCAGACCATGCTTTCCCTGTGTCTGAGGCAGGAGGGTTAAGCAGGAGTGGTCTTTGATGGGCAGGAGCTCCGTGGGGGCCAGAGCCAGATCATAAGGAAGGAAAAGCAAGGAAATGGTCTCAAGTTGCACCAGAAGAAATTTAGGTTGTACATTAGGAACACTTTCCTCATAGAGATGGTGGTCAGGCATTGGAACAGGCTGCCCAGGGAAAGTGGAGGAGTCCCCATCCCTGGGAGGTGCAGAAGGGATGTGTGGATGTGGCATTGAGGGACATGGCTTAGTGATGGGACTGGGTAGGTCAGGCTGACAGTTGGACTTCGTGACCTTGAAGGTCTTTTCCAATTGAGATGATTCCATGAGTCTATAAGCAGAAGTGCTTCCACAGAGGACTTGAGCAAGCTCAACTTCCATGACTTAGAAAACCAGTCTGCAAGCAGCTTTGTAAACAGCTGTAGCACTAAGTCAGCAGGGAGGTCTAAAAGCCAGTGCTCCCAGTTTTCTCTCTTCCCATGGCAATATGGTCTGGGCATCTCAGGACAGAGGTGTCAACCCAGAGTGGTTTCTTACTGCAGGTGATGCAGAGATTCTATGAAATGGAAAACTGCACGGCATATTCAGAGATATCTCATGCCTTGGACCTTTACTCTCCTTCCATGGAGATGCAGATTCATGACTCCTAGGAACATGCTGGATGTTGTGGCAGAGTGAGCTCACATCCTTCCTGCTCAGCCATTCACTTCTTCCCTCACTGCACCCTTGCGTATTTGCAAGATCTCTGATTGCGTTTCCTCCTGTTTCATCAGAAATAGCTGCTCATCCCTCCTGCCCTGCAGTAGTGCTCCTCATCCGGCACCTTGCCACAGTGACATTGCTCTTGCTTTCTGGTGAGCTTCAACATCACCATCTCCTGTCATCTTGGTGATGTTCAACCTGGTCTCTTCCCATCTGCTACCCTAAGCAGCATTTTCCCTGGCTGTGCTCAGCTGCCTCAGCTTCCAGCCCTCTACCAAAGTCATATCCTTTCTATAGTTTTTCATACACTGTATCTTTAAGATCCTCCTGGAGGTCAGAAAGAGGTACAGAGTCCACCAAGGCACCTCCTGGGATGTGGCAGATCTGGGACTAGCCTCTTGTAGATGTGCTCTCCTCTCTGCTGTGCAGCCCCAAAAGAGAGATCCTGCAGCCAAGGGGAGCTGGATGGGACTCAAAAAAAGAAGTACCAAAATCCAGCTGAGAGGAATTGCAGAGCTGTATCCAGGGCCATTTTTCACTAGGAGCCTTCTAATCTCCAGCTAGACACCCCAAGAGAAACCGTACCAAACATCTGAAACCATTCCTTATCAAATCTTATTTTATTCTAATTGAATCAGTCACTAAATTAACATGCTTCATTATTTTTGTCCCCATAGCACAGGGCATAGCTGCTGGGCAGACATCCAGACTCTGGGTGCTTTCAGTGAGCAGCACTGAAGCTGAAGGACCAGAGAGCTGCCACCTGGGAGAACACTGCTGTGGAGGTCCTCCCTGGGCCATGACCAGCAGCACAGCACTCTTTGGACAATACATGTGGTCCTCTGGGGCTGACAGTAGCAGGGCTTCTTGCTTCTTAAAAGCCAGTGAGTGCACAAGGGCCTTTTCTCCATGTTCCAAAATTCAGCACTGAGATG